TAAAACCATGCAGTAAAAAATAAAAAAATTAAAAAAAAAAAAAGATACCTGCTAAAGGAATAAACAGACTCTATGGTTGGTTCAAATGAGTCAAAACATTGAATACATTGCTACAGCTTTACACAGTTAACATACAACATATAAAAGCAAAACGTTATATATAAATCTTGTCTAGACAGAATAAAATCCTGATTTTAGTTTAAGTGTATAACCAACACATAAAATTCAATATTCAGTGCATGCATATTAGAATAGCTATTTGTCACCTTCAAAAAAAGAAAAGAAAACCTATGCACAAAGTGGAAGTGTACTGAGCATTTGTCCATAGACAATAGGTCTAAGGTAGAGAAAGAAGTCACAATCTTCCAGCTTCGAAAGCTCATGGTGTGCTGGGTGGATTTTTCTCTAGCACTCGGGATGATGAAAAGCTGAAATTAAATTGCCATTGGAGCCACGAAATGCATACCCAGAACATGTCATGCAGGGAAGTGTCAGACACTGGACCTCAAGCCAAAAAGATTGACTTCAGAGTGGCTGGTAGGCAAAACCCTAGGCAGCTTTGTGAACAATCTAACCTCAGAAACAAATTTTACTGGATGCAGAAGCTGCTGAGAACTTGCAGGCCTTTGAAGTTAAGACAAGATCTTTTTTAATCCTACTGAACTCATTCAATGCCAAGGCCATCAGTCTTCTCTCTGGCTAAAAGAAAAATAGAGGGAACTTCTCGGGCCTTCAACTTCATAATAAATCCTTCCTTTTCTGTATGTGAAAAAGGAAATTGAAAAGAACGTATAAAAAAAAGGAAGACACTACACTATAAAGCCCACACGTAGGCTGGCCCTGTGGGCATGGTGCATAGCGCCATCTCACGGGCAGAAAGATGTGGTAGGATTTTCTTTCTAGGGTTCCCAAACATGATCTTACTGGAAATCACTCAAGATGAATGGCCCAATCTGCTAAGTCCCAGGCTACGGAAGACAGTGTTGGAGCAAGCTTTAAGATGTTTTTCAAACTCTACATGCCCACCAGGCTTCCAAGCCCACCTAAGGTCAAATATCTCCTAGTGCTGATGACCTGATCAGTATACTCAGCAAACCTTTTCTTCCTCTGCTGCTTTCATTTTCACCTTCTAATTGCACATTAACACATCTAACTGAGAGACAGGGAAAGGAAGAAAAAGTAAACTTTGAATCAGTTAATTATCCAACAGTCCCCCCTAGGTTTCATTTTCCATGGTTTCAGTTACCCGCAGTCAAATGCGGTCCAAAAATATTAAATGGAAAATTCCAGAAATAAACAATTCATAGGTTTTAAATTTTGCTCCATCCTGCCCAAGACTTGAATCATCCCATTTTCCAGCATACCCACCTCACTCCATCTCATTA